GTGGGGGGAGGGAGGGAGGGAGGGAGGGGGTGGCCCAAGGGGGGAGGGGGGGTGGCACAATTCTGGCCCTCTGGCGCCCCCTCCTGGCAGGCTGCCCACACACACACACACGTGCACACACATACACACACAGACTTGCAGGCCTGGCTTTGGCCAGCGTCCCCCTCCCATTACCCTTGAAGGGCTCCCTGGAAGAGGAGAGGGAGGGGAGGCCCTCCAGGAGCATCTGCAATGTCTGGGGGGGGGGAATGGGACAAGGTAATTGGGGCCCCTCCCCCAGCTCCTGAGGAAGATGAAGGCATGCCCCCCGCTTTTGTCCTGCAGATCGGGGAGCGCGGCGTGCTGATCACGGGCTGCGACTCGGGCTTTGGCTTTGCGCTGGCCAAGCACCTCCACGAGAGGGGCTTCATCATCTACGCCGGGTGCCTCCTGAAGGTAGGAGGGGCCTCGGCCCCCACACAGACCCCCTCCCCAATGGGAAGAGACCATTCCGGAGGCAGAACAGCCCCCACCCCTTCCTTCAAAGCCCCTTCCAGACCTCCAGTGGGGGCATCCATGGAAATCACAGGCTTCATGGGAATGGGGGGGGGATCCACTTCCTGAGCCGTGCAATCCCCCCTCCCCCCCCATGCTCACAATAACAGTGGGAAAGAAGGAACCCCCCCCCCCCCCCCGAGCCTACCTGGAGCATCCCGTGTCCAGTGCAGGGAGCTCTGCAGTGGCCAGCCTGGTGGACGTTACAGTCCATGGGAGGAGGGAGAGTGCTTGGGGCCCCCCAACGGGCGGGTGTCTCCTTTGGTGGCTGAGGGACAACTGTGTCTTGTGGCAGGAACAAGGCCGGGGGGGCTCCAAGGAACTGGATGACATGAAGAGCGACCGCATGCGGACTGTCCAGCTCAACGTCTGCGACAGTGAGGAAGTGGGACGTGCTGTGGACCACGTGACTGCAACCATGAAGGATGAAGCTGGTAGGATGGGGGGTTCATGGGGGGGAGTGGGTCACAGGAGGAGGGGGCTCCCTAGCAGGCCCTGTGCATGGCGCCCACCCATTCTATTGTGCAATGCAAGTGGGGAGTCGGGGTAGAGTTCTGCCCCCCCACCCCAGCATGGACCAAACCAGAACAGAGCGAAAGCATGGCAGTGACCAACACCGCCCCCCCCCCAAATCTCCCCCTCCCTCCCATAGGGCTCTGGGGCCTGGTGAACAACGCGGGTATTTCCACCTTTGGGGAAGTGGAGTTCACCAGCATGGACACCTACAAGGAGGTGGCCGAAGTGAACCTGTGGGGCACCATCCGCACCACCAAGTCCTTCCTGCCCCTCATCCGCAGAGCCAAAGGTAAGCCGTGTGGACCCAGACCACCTCCCCCCCCCACAGAAACAGCACCCCTCCCCACCCAGAGCCATTTGTAGCCTGCTTCCTGCCTTACCCGCGGGACCCAGGCAATCTTTTTTGCTATTCTCAAAAATAACCCTCAGCTGGGGTGATTCCACTATAAATGTAGCAGAGTAAAGTCAGTGGCATCGGCAGCACAGCAAGGCAGGAAGAGATCAATCACAGCCACTTTAGGCTGTAAACTACTTTGTTTTACAGCTATAGCATTAGAATCTACTTAACGCTCAGCACATCGTAAAACTTGCTTCTTTTCCATCTGATCGTAACATCGCAAACATCCTAACTGTTATCAGCACTAGTCCACACCTCTTGCATTCCAGAGCAACGTATGACATGACGCTGCCTCCATTTGTTCTATACACTTGATTTATGACCTCTCTAGGAATGCTGTTCCCTCCATGGTTCAGTTAACTCTTTCCACACAGGAATACATTACACTCGTCACATAGCTACTGCATTTTAAACATACAAACATACTTTGAAATCTACATGATAAATTGCAAACAGCTTCAACAAGTACCAGAAGAAAACTTCATAACCAGCAGAAGCTTCCATTCCTTAGGATGGCAGAGGATTGCAAAGTCAGAACTTTAGGTTCAAACATATTTATTGAAGTAAAAGCAATACATTCTAGATGGAAAAGGTCTTAGAGCGCACTCGATTACCAAGTCTCCTCTTCTAAAGCAGTGGTTCTCAACCTGGGATCCTCAGATGTTTTTGGCCTACAACTCCCAGAAATCCTAACAGCTGGTAAACTGGCTGGGATTTCTGGGAGTTGTAGGCCAAAGACATCTGGGGACCCCAGGTTGAGAACCACTGTTCTAAAGGAGTAAAAGGGAAACGTAAAAAAAATCCATACAGCTACATTTTGCCTAAAAGAGGCAAAAAGTGCATCCTCGCTGGAAGGAAGGAAAGGCAGAAGAGGCAATGGTGGTGGAAAGGCCACATGGCCAAGCCCAGGGCAATCAACATACCTGTACAATGGGAATTCCCTCACAGGGACTCCATTGCTCCATCTTTGGGGGGGGGGGAGACAGTGGCGAGGAGGAGGAGGAAAGACAAAGCCTTTTCTGGGAAAAACATGCATAAGAATGCGGGGGGGGGGAGGAATCCCTCGGCCTAATCCTATCTCTAGTGTAGCTACTCATTGAGGTCTGGAGACTTGACGGCACAAGAGACTTGTGCAGTCCAGGGATGAATGGAACCCCCCCCCCCCCACACACACACATAGATACCCCACCCTCCTTAGGTCATCCAGTGAGAGGGTCCTGTGCCCTTATTTGCATCCAGGCCAGGCAAAGCCCTCAGCCACAAGTGTCCAGGCCTGGAGGTGGTCAGAGAAAAGGCCGTACTCTGCCTCCTGGTCATTCGGCACGAGTCCAAGGGGGGATGCTCATTTTGGCCTCTGCAGCCAGTCAGAGAGTGAGGCCCAGGTGGACCATGTCCTGGTAGAGCCCGCCTCCTGCTTCCTGGGGGCTGTGGGGTGCTGGTAAGGGGTAGGTTTGAGTGGGTGGGGGTCTCCTTCAATGACCGGTCCCTCTAACCACTCCCCCTCTGCCGCCCCCCAGGCCGCGTGGTGAACATCAGCAGCATGATGGGGCGCATGGCCAACCCGGCGCGCTCTCCCTACTGCATCACCAAGTTCGGGGTGGAGGCGTTCTCCGACTGCCTGCGCTACGAGATGCGCCCGCACGACGTGAAGGTGTGCATCGTGGAGCCGGGCAACTTCATCGCGGGCACCAGCCTCTACAGCCCCGAGCGCATCCAGGCCATCGCCGACAAGATGTGGGACGAGCTGCCAGAGATCGTGCGGCGCGACTACGGGCGGCAGTACTTCGACGAGCAGATCGCCAAGATGGAGTCCTACTGCAACAGCGGCTCGGCCGACACCTCCCCGGTCATCGACAGCATCACCCACGCCCTGACCTCCACCACGCCCTACACCCGCTACCACCCCATGGACTACTACTGGTGGCTGCGCATGCAGGTCATGACCCACATGCCCGCCGCCATCTCCGACCGCCTCTACATCTACTGAGCGAGCGGGGCGGGGGGAGGGGTGGGGAGGGGGGCTGGGGGCACTCCCCCTCCTCGACCACATCGAAGGGAAGCTCCTCGGGCGGGCAGAGGGGGGCGCACTCGCTCCCCGTAGTCTCACTCCGTTAGTTGGGTCTCCACTTACTGTACTGTAGGCTGAACGAGTCGTTAATTTAACCTGGTGTAGTAATTTAACCCTTTGCATGGTGTGTCTCATGGGCAGGGAACACCCCCCCCCCTTTTCTCTCTCTATGGGGAGGGGTCCTGACTCAATGCCCATGTTCTCTATTTATTTGGGGCACTCCCACCTCTCTCCCTCCCCATCCCTGGAGACGACTAGGACTGGGAGGCCGTGGCCCAGAGACCCTCTCCCTCCCTCCCTGGGGGGGCACTTAGCCCCCTCCCTTTGCACACACACACACACTCCAGGGAGAGGGTCTCTGCAGGGGACGCTTTGCACTGGCCCCCCTTGCTGTCCCTCCCTCGTGGGCTCATTCCAGTGGCAGCTCCGTGAGAACCGTCCACTCCTGCCCATGGGGGGGGGGCACAGGGTCGGGGTTTGCCCCCAGAGTAATGGCCGGCCAGAGGAAATGGGAGGGAAGGGGAGGGGACCGGGTTGTGGGGGCACCCTCTCCTCCCCCCCTTCCCTTCCCATCTCAACCTGTTCGGCCACAACAAACCAACGCACATTGGAGGAACAAAATGCCACTGTCCTCCTGGTGGCATTTGGGGTGGGTGGGGGTTGGGGTAGGGAGGGAGGGGGATCTTTAATAGTAGCAACCTTTGGAAAAGGGAAGGGCTCTCCCCCCCCCCCCCCCGGGGGGGTCCTTCTGGCCAACCGGCTTGAGGACCGACTCTTTATTTTAAGATTAGTTTTTGGTAAGAAAAGGCCACAAGGAAATATTTTTGCGATGCTTCAGAGGTCAAGGAAAGGGTCACTGGGAGAGGGTTCTGGACATGTTTGTGGAATCCTGGGGGGAATTGGGGGGGGCGGCGGGGGAGTGGGAGGCGGTGGGGGCCTCGCTTCACCCCCTGGGCAAGCTGTTACAAATTGGGAAACTGAGTCTGTGATCAAATCTTCTCTGCCTCCTTGAGTTACATTAAACGACAGTGACAAACCCACCTGCCTCTTCCATGGATGCCCTCTCTTGCGGGGGGGGGGGGGGGGGGGGAGGTCCCTTTGCACATTTGGGTCGGGACGCCTGGGGGGGGGGGTCGCCCCACACAAAACATGCTTCCTTTAGAAAAATTTAACACAACTCCTCCTGAGACAACCCTGATGCATTCCAAGAAGGCCTTCCAGTGGGTTGTTGTAGGTTTTTTCGGGCTATATGGCCATGTTCTAGAGGCATTCTCTCCTGACGTTTCGCCTGCATCTATGGCAAGCATCCTCAGAGTAGTGAGGTCTGTTGGAACTAGGAAAATGGGTTTATATATCTGTGGAATGACCAGGGTGGGACAAAGGACTCTTGTCTGCTGGAGCTAGGTGTGAATGTTTCAACCGACCACCTTAACCAGCACTTGATGGCCTGGCAGTGCCTGGAGCAATCTTTTGTTGAGAGGTGATTAGATGTGCCTGATTCTGGGAGCCCCAGAAAGACCTTCCACTCTTTCTGGGGCTCCCCGACCACACTCTTCCTTCCCGCCGGCTCCTCGCTTATCACCACGCTGCCTCATGCATCATTCAGGGGCTTGGTTGTGTTGGCCTGGCGTATCAGTGACCGGGAGAAAGGAAGGACGGAGGGAGGGGATGAATGCAAGGGCGGCAGAGGCTGCTGCAGAAGGAGGATTTGTGTGCTGCCCCGAAGGAATAATAATAATAATAATAATTCTGTGCACATCATTCGAAAATACATCACACAATCCTAGACGCTTGGGAAGTGTTCGACTTGTGATTTTGTGATACGAAATCCAGTATATGGATTGCGTTTGCTGTGATATACTGTGCTTTTGTGTCAATAATAATAATAATCTTTATTTCCGCGCTCTGGTTACATCCCGTATAGACCACTGCAACGCTCTCTACATGGGGTTGCCTTTGAAGACTACTCGGAAGCTTCAAATGGTCCAACGATCTGCAGCCAGGATACTAACAGGAGCGGCACTCAGGGAGCATACAACCCCCTGGTTGCGCCAGCTCCAAAGGCTACCAGTCTGCTACCAGGCACAATTCAAAGTGCTGGCTTTAGCATATAAAGCCCTAAACGGTTCTGGCCCAACTTACCCGTCCGAACGCATCTCCTCGTATGAACCAGCTAGGACATTAAGATCATCTGGGGAGGCCCTGCTTTGGTCCCGCCTGCAACACAGGCACGCCTGGCAGGGACGAGAGACAGGGCCTTCTCAGTGGTGGCCCCTCGGCTGTAGAACGCCCTTCCTACAGATATTAGATCAGCCCCCTCCCTCCTGGCATTTCGGAGGGAAGACCTGGTTGTTCAAGCAGGGATTTGATTAGGCAGTGTAATGAATATAGGAATACGGAATAACGGATGATGAGATTTGAGCTTGATTCTACTGATGAGACGCTAATGAGTTGTTATATTGATGCTTAATTGTTTACTATGCTATTGTTTTAACTGTCCCTTAACTGTTTTTTTTTTTTTTTATGATTAGCATTGAATTTTTGCTGTTAACCGCTTTGAGTCGCCTAAGGGCTGAGAGAAGCGGTATACAAACGAAGTAAATAAATAATAAATATTTAATACCCCGCCACCATCTCTCTCCCCAATGGGGGGGACTCGGGGTGGCTTACATGTGGCCAAGCCCAACAGCATATTACAATAAAGTAAAACCAAAACACAGTAACAACACAGGAAGGAAGGAAGGAAGGAAGGAAGGAAGGAAGGAAGGAAGGAAGGAAGGAAGGAAAGGAGGGAAGCCCAGCCTGCAGAAGAGAGAGAGCCCACTGCCCACCCTTCCCTGCCCTCTCCCCCCTGCACCCCATAGTGTCAGAGGAGGAGCCCGTGCCTGCCTCGCCTTGCATTTGCTGAAGCTGGCACCGCTGACCGGTCCGTCTTGGCCCAGGGAGTGCCTGGCACTGCCAACTGGCTGACCAGCACACAAGGCCCCGATTGTCCTCGTCCCTCGCCTTCCCTGGCGCCAAGGGGGGGGGGGGGTCAGGTGGGACAATGTGCATGCCATGGGGGAAGGTATCCATCCCAAGCCTTTCTGGTCTGTGTGTCATTGCGGGAGCCCGCCTGGAGAGAGAGGGGGGGGCTCCTCAGGTCTCTCCAATGTGTCTGTGTGTTTGGGGGGGGGGGGGTCAGCCTTGGGAAGGGTCCAGGCCCCAACAGGGCTTGCCTGCCAGCAAAGGAGGGCTCTCTCTGGCCTTTCCAGGCCGCCATCTGCTCCCGGCTCCAAATGACCAGTGACAGTTCTGTGTGCGGATGGGGCCCAAACCCCTCCGGGGACACAAGAGTGGCCAGTGTGGCCTTTCCCCGCTGCGCCCCCCAGCTTGCCTCGCCTTTCCGCAGCTGCAACTCAGCCAAGTTTCCCAGTGGGGGAGGGGCTCCTGTCTGACCTTTCTCAGGGACAACAGAAACCCCCCCCCCATAGCCTTGCTGGATCCACAAAGGAGGGGGCTTAGTAGGAAGGCTGCTCTAAGACCCCCAAAGTGGGGAGCAGCCTACATCAGGCTGGAGAGAGTCCTCCAATGAATGGAGGGGGCTCTGGAAAGTTTGCAAAGTGGAGAAAAGAAGTGCATGTTGAAGCCCAGATTTCCTTCTGCATATGGGTGGGTGGGTGGGTGGGGGGGGTATCCACCATCTGGCAGCTGGGGACATGGGGGGGGGAATTCAGTGGGGCCTTCCTCTACTCTAGAAACCCAGTGGGGCGCAAGGTTTCTGCCTTCCATGGCTGGAAGGGGCCAATGGATCTGTGTGTGTGTGTGTGGGGGGGGGAGGGAGGTGGAATCAACACAACAGACACGCAAGCAGAGAGCCGTTCAGCAGTGGAACTCTGTGCCCCAGAGTGTAGTGGAGGCTCCTTCTTTGGAGGCTTTGAACAGAGGCTGGATGGACATCTGTCGGGGGTGCTTTGAATGAGTTTTTTCCTGCTTCTTGGCAGAATGGGGCTGGGCTGAATGATGGCCCACCAGGTTTCTTCCAACTCTAGGTTTCTAGGATTCACTGGCTGCCTCTCACTGGACCAACTGAAGCTTCCACACAGTCTTCAAGGGCAATCCCACATAGAGTGCACTGCAGTAGTCTACCGAGGATGTAACGGGAGCATGGATCATCATGGCCAGGTCAGGCCTCCCAAGGCATGGGCGCAACTGGTGCATAAGGCAATTTCCCCACTTCTTTGCAGAATGGGGTCGGACTGGAAGGCCCACGAGGTCTCTTTCAACTTTAGGATTCTATGTTCAGCAGCGGAACTCTCTGCCCCAGAGGGAGTGTGTTATTATTATTATTATTTATTTATTTACCTGACTTATATACCGCTGTTCTCATCCCGAAGGCGACTCACAGCGGTTCACAACAAATACGAACAGCAAAAATCCAGTGCTACAGTATAGGAACAGTTAACAACCTGACACATTACACAATTAATAAACAGTGACTACAAGACCCATTCACTGTCGTCTCGTCATCAAAAACATGTTCCAGATTCGTCATCCATTGTTCCATTCCAGTGTTCATTAACCAATCATTGCACTTTATTCGAACGCCTGCTCAAACAGCCAGGTCTTCACTTTTTTGCGGAATACCATTAGAGATGGTGCTAGTCTAATGTCCGTAGGAAGGGCGTTCCACAGCCGAGGAGCCACCACCGAGAAGGCCCTATCTCTCGTCCCCGCCAGCCGAGCTTGAGAAGCAGGCGGGATCGAGAGCAGGGTCTCCCCGGAAGATCTCAAAGTCCTGGTGGATTCATAGGCAGAGATGCGGTCGGATTGGTAGCTTGGGCCGGAACCGTTTGCAGGGGTCGGGAACCTTTGGCCCTCCAGCTGTGGTGGACTTCAACTCCCACAATTCCTTGAGGCTTGACATTCGCCCCAAAGGCTTACCTTGGCCCAATGCCGAGCCTCAAGGAATTGTGGGAGTTGAAGTCCACCACAGCTGGAGGGCCAAAGGTTCCCTACCCCTGGTTTAGGGCTTTAAAGGTGTTGGAGGCTCCTTCTTTGGAGGCTTTGAAGCAGAGGCTGGATGGCCATCTGTCAGGAGTGCTTTGAATGCAATTTCCCTGCTTCTTGGCGGAATGGGATTGGACTGGATCAGGGGTAGGGAACCTTTGGCCCTCCAGCTGTGGTGGACTTCAACTCCCACAATTCCTTGAGGCTCGGCATTCGCCCCCAAGGCTTACCTTGGCGCCCAATGCCGAGCCTCAAGGAATTGTGGGAGTTGAAGTCCACCACAGCTGGAGGGCCAAAGGTTCCCTACCCCTGGTTTAGGGCTTTAAAGGTGTTGGAGGCTCCTTCTTTGGAGGCTTTGAAGCAGAGGCTGGATGGCCATCTGTCAGGAGTGCTTTGAATGCAATTTCCCTGCTTCTTGGCGGAATGGGGTTGGACTGGATGATGGCCCAGGAGGTCTCTTCCCACTCTAGGATTCTATGACTGTGAGAGCTGTTCAGCAGTGGAACTCTCTGCCCTGGAGGGAGTGTGGTGGAGGCTCTTTCTTTGGAGGCTTTGAAGCAGAGGCTGGATGGCCATCTGTCAGGAGTGCTTTGAATGCAATTTCCCTGCTTCTTGGCGGAATGGGATTGGACTGGATGATGGTGGCCCACCAGCTCTCCTCCAACTCTAGGATTCTAAGATTCTATGAACCAGGCAACGTTCTTGCAGACAGCCAATTACCTCACACCAGAAGCGACTTGCAGTTTCCCAAGCAGCGCCTGGAAGGGCCCAATGGGTGTGTGTGTGGAATCAACACACCAGAGGGACTCCCCAGCAGAGATTGGGGGGGTGAGGCCTTCCCCTGGCTGCCGGCCGGCCTGCCTTTCAGCTGGGGGCCAGCAGGGGGCGGGGTTGGGGTTGCCTGCCCTGCGTGGGAGCGGCCTGTGGGCGTGGCTGGGCTGATTGACGGGCGGGAGAGGGCGAGGGGGGCGTGTCCGCGCGTGGTCCCGCCTCCGCCCGGGCAGGCCCTCCTCGCCCGCCATCTTGGGGAAGTCTCCTTCGGGAAAGTTTGCAAAGCGGGCAAAACAAGTCCCGAAGGAGGAAGGAAGGAAGAGGAAGGAAGGAAGAGGAAGCCATGCCGGTGCGCAGGCAAGGTGAGGAGCAGCGGCCTCTCCTCCTTCTCTCCCTCCGTCCTCCTCTCCTTCCCCGGCCTCACTTCCCTTGTGCTTCTCTCCTAGATGCGGAGCGTGCGGTGCGGCTGCTGGAGGGCTACCGCTCGGGGCTGGGCGGCGGGGCCGAGGACCGGCAGCAGCTCCGCGGATCCCTCGAGCGCGTCATCGGCGTCTTCCGCAGCACGCTCTTCCGCGCACTCCTCGGTGAGTTGAGTCCGTCTACACGCTCAACTAATTCCGCTTCGAAACCAACTAGAGGGCGCCCCCTGCCGGCGCCTCGGGACACGCCTGCCCTCCCTGAAACTCCCTTACACTGGCTGCCTCCCCCAAAGGGGGCGGGGCTTAGTGTAAGGGAGTTTCAGGGAGGGCAGGCGTGTCCCGAGGCGCCGGCAGGGGGCGTGGCTTTGTTCTGACTCCGCCCCTTTCTCCACCTCTTCTAGACATCCAAGAGTTCTACGAGGCGACCCTCCTGGAGAACCCCAAGACCGTGGGGAGGCCCCGCCCCCTCGAGAACGCCCCGCCCCTCGCCGCCTGGGACCTCTCCCCCGCCCCACTGCCCGCCACCCCCCTCGGGCCACGCCCAGCCACGCCCACCCAAGGACATCCAGCCCGAATACCCACACCACCACCAGCAGCACCAGCAGCAGCACAGGTAGGCCAGGTGGGGGTGGGAATCACCTGGAGGGGGCGGGGCCTCTGCCATGTTATGTCCTCGGAGCCCCGCTAGAGGGCGCCCCTTGCAGCCTGTCCCAAATAGGAAGCCTTATAATAATAACAACAAAGTGGAAGTCCTTTGAATGCCACATCATGAGGAGACAGGAAAGCCTAGAGAAGACAATGATGCTGGGGAAAGTGGAAGGCAAAAGGAAGAGGGGCCGACCAAGGGCAAGGTGGATGGATGGCATCCTTGAAGTGACTGGACTGACCTTGAGGGAGCTGGGGGTGGTAACGGCCGACAGGGAGCTCTGGCGTGGGCTGGTCCATGAGGTCACGAAGAGTCGGAGACAACTGAACGAATGAACAACAACATAATAACAACAACAACAACAACAATAATAACACGTTGCTTCCAGAGAATTTATTTATTTATTTATGTATTGACTTTGCTTCTATACGGCTGTATCTCAAGCCCGAAGGCGACTCACAGCGGTTCACAAACAGTAAAAACAGTAGAAACAGCAGTGGTTCCATACAACACATAACAATTGACTTAACACATGATCCATAAATTACCAATAAGCCATTACAATGCACAATTATTACAAAAAACAACCATACCCAATCTTCTCATCATCCAAGCGTAGTCCAGGTTCGTCGTCCCTTGTTCCATTCCTATGTTCCATTACCAGATTGCACTAAATTACTCAAACGCCTGCACAAACATCCAGGTCTTCACCTTTTTGCGGAATACCATTAGAGATGGTGCTAGTCTAATGTCCGTAGGAAGGGCGTTCCACAGTCGAGGAGCCACCACCGAGAAGGCCCTATCTCTCGTCCCCGCCAGCCGAGCTTGAGAAGCAGGCGGGATCGAGAGCAGGGTCTCCCCGGAAGATCTCAAAGTCCTGGTGGGTTCATAGGCAGAGATGCGGTCAGATAGGTAGCTTGGGCCGGAACCGTTTAGGGCTTTAAAGGCCAACGCCAGCACTTTGAATTCAGCCCGGTAGCAAATTGGCAGCCAGTGGAGCTGGTGCAACAGGGGGGTTGTATGTTCCCTGAGAGCCACTCCAGTTAGCAATCTGGTTGCTGTCCGTTGGACCAGTTGGAGCTTCCGGACAGTCTTCAAAGGCAACCCCACGTAGAGAGCGTTGCAGTAGTCTATGCGGGATGTAACGAGAGTGTGGACTACCGTGGCCAAGTCAGACTTCCCAAGGTACGGTCGCAGCTGGCGCACAAGCTTTAACTGTGCGAATTCTCCCCTGGTCACCGCCGAAACCTGGGGTTCCAGGCTCAGCGATGAGTCCAGGGTCACACCCAAGCTGCGAACCTGCGTCTTCAGGGGGAGTGTAACCCCATCCAACACAGGTTGTAACCCTATGCCCTGTTTGGCCTTGCGACTGACCAGGAGGACCTCTGTCTTGTCTGGATTCAATTTCAATTTGTTCGCCCTCATCCAGACCGTCACAGCGGCCAAGCACCGGTTCCGGACCTGGACAGCCTTATAATAATAACAACAACAACAACAATAATAACACGTTGCTTCCAGAGAATCCTGCAAATCTCTTGGAACAAACAAGGTGGAGGAATGTATTGTGGAAGGCTTTCATGGCCGGAATCACTCAGTTCTTGTGGGTTTTTCCAGGCTCTATGGCCATGTTGTGGAGGCAGTTTTTCTCCTGACGTTTCGCCTGCATCTGTGGCAAGCATCCTCAGAGGTTGTGAGGTCTGTTGGAACTGTATATTATGCTGTTAATGGCTTTTAAATTTTGTATGCTATTGGATTGACTTTTGCTCTTGTTGTAAACCACATTGAGTCACCTACAAGGCTGAGAAATTGCGGTATACAAGAAAAGTAAAGTAAGTAAATAAATAAATAAATAAACTAGGCAAAAGGGTTGACATATATGTGGAATGACCAGGGTGGGACAAAGGACTCTTGTCTGCTGGAGCTAGGGGTGAATGTTTCAAGAGACCACTGTTCTGTCGCCACCGGGTCCAAACAAAATGCCTTTATTCTATAGAACGCACACTTTAAACCCAGTGGGAAGCCGGGGTGCCCGAAGAGAGATTGTTAGAGACTTCCAAAAGTAATGGGCTTTAGAGTCTTTAAAAGTACAACAAAGTCTTTATTAAGGAACAAATCTTCAAACAAAACTTCACGGCTTTACTATTCTAGTCTTTAAGAGGCTGGCACTAACTTGGTTTGACTGTACTATCTCAGCATAAGGAAGAACTCTTCATAATCCCTCCCAGGCCGTCCATCACCTCGGCCTCGCTGGTCTGGGTAATACTGCCCATCCCCAAATGCGTCTGGAAACCGAGTAACCTACCAGACGAAGCTAGAAGATGTTTAGCTGGAATTCTGTGGTTCTGCAGTGATCTCCTGTGGAAACTTCAGGGCTGTTTTCCCCTCTGGTGCTGCGAGGCTGAGGAGAGGCTGTGAGCTCTCAGCCAGAGCCTTTGGGACCTTTTCCTTCCGTATCCCTGGAACTGGATGGTCACTGGATGACCCCTGGATGGTCGCTGGATGGACCCAGGATCACCTTTGGATGATCCCCGGATGGCTATTTCTATTTCCCCGGAAGGTTTTGAGGAATGAAGCCTTTCCTACGGGACTAGCTGATCTGCGTCCTATAGACTGGCTTCCCTGTGTGACTGAAAATAGGCCCCTTCCCTCCAAAAGGCAAAAAGGGGGCGGGACCAGGGATCCTAACTATAACTGGCAGGTGGCTTACCCTATAAATGCAAATTATAACAGGAAACCCCCTGCTGCAAAATCCCAAGCATGGGTTTGCACACAAACATATAAACACAGCAAATAAATCTGGAGCTCCTGGAACAGCTGTTCCAGAACAACCACCTTGATTTGATGGCCTGGCAGTGCCTGGAGCAAACATTTGTTGAGAGGTGATTAGATGGCCTTGTTTAATGTATTGTCGAAGGCTTTTATGGCCGGAATCACTGGGTTGTTGTAGGTTTTTTCGAGCTATATGGCCATGGTCTAGAGGCATTCTCTCCTGNGCGGCCGCCATTAACGAATCGATTCGTAATCGATTCGTAATTGTTTCGTAATTGTTTTATGATTTCCGAAATATCGTAAATATCGAACTTTTTTAAAAGAAAATTTCGGAATTCTTTTAGATAACGAAACACAAAAAAAACCTAAAAACGAATTGCGCCCCTGGCAAAAAAAAGTGTTCTGCGACCACTTACTTCGCGTAATTGATGAGCCGCCCCTGGACCAGGCTGACCTTGAGGTCTCTTCCTAGTTTGTGATTCCCCGACTCAATGCCTATTTTGGCACAGAATAAACTCTCCAAACGAGTCCAACAAAGCGCCAACCATCTTTGCCGGCGCTCCTTTTCTTTCTCGAAGGGCTTTTCAAGTGTAACAAAGCTGCTCTTCTGCTGAAAAACGAGTCGGAACACATATGTTTTCTCTACTCCGATAACCCACACACCCAGAGGACCGCTCTCAAGTGAGGAGGAAAAGTTTTGAGAAGTGGCAGGATGAAAACAGAAGAGCCGAATGAGAGGAAAGCCGAGAGCTGATCTGGGTTTATGGAACGAAGCTCTTCAAAAAAAGATTTGCAAACTCAAGGAGAAGAAATGGAATGCAAGAGATTAAAGCTAGATAAAAAGAGGAGCGGAATCGAAATTCGGAAGGAACCAGCCGGGAGGGATGTGTGGGAGTCGGGCGAGAGAGGGACGGAGAGCAAAGGCATCCAGAAGAGCTGGAGTTTCAACAGAAAATTTAGCACATATTGAAATCTCTAAGGGAGGAGACATAAAAAGCCAGCAAGCAAAAATGAAAACACAGGAAGAATTGGGTTCTTTAATTAATATATCTATATATATATAAAAATGTAATGTTCGTTTGTGGTATTCACAGAACTCAAAAACCACTGGGGGAATTGACACCGAATTTGGACACGAGACACCTAACAACCCAATGTATGTCCTTCACTCAAAAAAATTTTGATTTTGTCATTTGGAAGTTATAGTTGCTGGGATTCATAGTTCACCTACAATCAAAGAGCATTCTGAACTCCACCAATGATGGAATTGAACCAAACTTGGCACACAGTTTTCCCATGACCGACAGAAAACACTAGAAGGGTTTGGTGGCATTGACCTTGAGTTTGGGAGTTATAGTTCACCTACATCCAGAGAGCACCGTCGACTCAAACAATGATGAATCTGGATTAAACTTGGTACAAATACTCCATATGCCCAAATATGAACACAGATGGAGTTTGGGGGAAAATAGACCATGACATTTGGGAGTTGTAGTTGCTGGGATTTATAGTTTGCCTACAATCAAAGAGCATTCTGAACTCCAACCATGATGAAATTGAACTAATCTTGGGACACAGAACTCCCAAGATCCACAGAAAACAGTAGAAGGATTTGGTGGGCATTGAATTTCACTTTGGGAGTTATAGTACACCTACATCCAGAGAGCACCGTGGACTCAAACAATGATGGATCTGGACCAAAGTTGGTACAAATACTCCATATGCCCAAATATGAACACAGATGGAGTTTGCGGGAAATAGACCTTGACATTTGGGAGTTGTCGTTGCTGGGATTTATAGTTCACCTACAATCAAAGAGCATTCTGAACCCCACCAAGGACAGAATCGAGGCAAACTTCCCACACAGAACCCCCATGACCAACAGAAAATACTTAAGGCCATCGAGTCCAACTCCCTTCACCAAGACAAGAAAATGTAATCAAAGCCCTCCTGACAGAGAGCCATCCAGCCATAGCTATAGATATATATGATTCACACACACAGCGAGATATAGTATCATAGGTTTGAAATACACAAGCATGCGGACAATTTCAACAGAAAGGAGGAAACCATGAAAATAAACAAAATCTGGCTACCAGTATTAAAAAACTCTAAAATTGCAACAGCAAAACAGCAGAGAGGAAGCAGGCAGGGACATCTAATTACCTCTCAAAAAAAGTTTGCTCCAGGCACAGTCAGGCTATTGTATGCTAATCAAGGCGATCAGTTGAAACATTCACACCTAGCTCCAGCAGACAAGAGTCCTTTGTCTCACCCTGGTCATTCCACAGATATATAAACCCCTTTTCCTATTTCCAACAGACCTCACTACCTCTGAGGATGCTTGCCACAGATGCAGGCGAAATGTCAGGAGAGAATCATCATCATCATCATCATCATCACTTTATATCTTAATTAGTCGCTCTCCACCAAAGTTCTCCGAGTGACTTACAATTTAAAATAGCTTATACAAAATATAAAACATTCAATATAAAAACATTCAGCAGTGACTATGGCAAAATTTGATCCGATTACTTAAATGCACAACCAAACAGCCAAGTCTTCTGAGCGCCTTTACAAAAGGTCGCAACTCCGAAATTGCTCTAACGTATGGAGGCAATGAGTTCCACAGAATTGGAGCATAGGTCGAGAAAGCTCTACTATGCCTTGTAGCTTCCAAATGTGCCTCCCTTGGACCCGGTATGTAGAGGAGATTTTCCTGGGAGGATCGAGGTGACCACTGATGCGGAAAAGGAATGAGATATAAAGGTCCTTGACCATTTTGAGCTCTAAATGTCAGGATCAGTATCATGTAAGAGATCCGATGTCCTATTGGTAGCCAATGCAGTTGTTGCAGAATCGGTGTAGTATGGGATCTTATAGATGATCCTGCTTGCAGCCTGGCTGCCGCATTTTTGACCATCCGAATCTTCTGGGTCGTTGACTTCGGAAGGCCGGCATATAAGGCATTGCAATAGTCCAACCTAGTGGTGACTGTTGCATGGATTACCGTTGCCAATGCTTCTACCGAAAGGTAGGATGCCAATTTCCTTGCCTGGTGAAGATGAAAAAAGGCCTGCTTCCTTATGGCAGTGATCTGGGCCTCCATCGTCAGCGATGAGTCCAACACAACCCCAACACAACCTCAAGGCTTTGAACAGTGGCAGGCGGAACCAGAGCTTCCCCATCGAAATCAGGCAGAGACTGGGTTAATTCTGGCGGCTGGCCGGGCCAGAGGATCTCAGTTTTTGCAGGATTGACTTTTAGTCTGCTTGCTCGTAGCCAACTCATCACTGCTTCCAAACACAGCTTAAAGTTATCAGGTATCACGGTTGTCCCAGGTTCGAGACGCAAGAGTAGTTGGGTATCATCTGCATACTGGTAGCACTCTAACCATTCCGCCCTCTGTCTCTGGTCCAGGAGGAATGAATTGAACCATTTCAGGGCTAAACCTCGTACACCAGACATAGCCAATCATCTGCATACTGGTAGCACTCTATGCCAAAGCTCCGCACCAGTCCAGCAAGTGGCCGGACGTAGATGTTAAATAACAGGGGTAAGAGGATAGCACCCTGAGGAACTCACTCCACAGCAAAGGCAGGATCTTTCAGAGCTTTGGCCTGACCACTCCACCCTCTGTCTCCGGTCCCGGAGGAATGAATTGAACCATTTGAGGGCTAAACCTCGTACACCAGACATAGCCAATCATCTGCATACTGGTAGCACTCTATGCCAAATCGATGAATCAGCAAGTCATGGTCCACGGTGTCGAATGCAGCTGTGAGGTCCAAGAGTACCAATAGCGCTGATCCGCCTCGGTCTAATTGACGACGAATTTCGTCAGTGATAGCTACCAAGACAGTCTCTGTCCCGTGACCTGAGCGAAAGCCTGATTGAAAGGGGTCCAAACCCGCAGTCTCATCTAAAAATTGCTGTAGCTGTCCCGCCACTGTCCGTTCAATGCCTCTAGACCATGGCCATACAGCCCGAAAAAACCTACAACAACCCAATATAATGTTCATTTCTGGAATTCACATAATTCAAAAACCACTGGACGAATTGACACCAAATTTGGACACCTCTCAGGCCAACGAGTGGCCATCACTCATAAAAACACAACGGAAGGGACTTATAAAGCCAAAAAAGCAAAAAAAATGCTACAGCGCATGTGCAAAAATGACTCCCCCGGCAAACAAAACACACAACAGCATATCCACACTCTCTTCCAGACTACAGCTCCCAGCATCCCCTAAATCAAGCCCTTTAGGAGAGGAGGGTGCTCCAAATGCATTGCTTCCAAGATGTAAGCTTTCTTCTCCTTGGATTTCTTTGAGAGCATCCCAATCCCTGCATATTCCCAATTTTCTGTTCCTGGACTTCCTATTCGGCCATCTTTTGCAAGCCCTCTTTCCCCATAGAACTGCCTCCCGCCTGATTCTGGTGCTCCAACCATCTCAGGATTGATCCTCCTTCTCTTCTTCCTCCCCAACCAAAGAAGAGCTTATCACCCTCTTGCAGGCAAAGTATGAAATGTCAATTTACGACCGGGTAGAATGGAAGCTAATCTTTCTTCTGAAGATAAGATTTCGCTTTTTCTTCTTCTTTTTTTCGAAAACGGAGTCGCACTGCTTTTTACAGGCGGATGAATTAAGGCACCTGCGAGGAGATGGGAGGAAGCGGTATGGCTTCCCGCCTCTCCTTCCCATCTCCGCTCGCATCCCCACCGCCGGCGTTTAATTGAGTGTCGCCTCTTCCGCATTGTCTCCTTTCAAAGCCCGTCTTGTAAACATGATGGAGCGGAATGAACGGCCCGCACGTGTCTCTGTCGTGCGGTAACAAACCCCATGTTATTAGCATTGTCAGGACAGCGGGGCGGGAGGGTAATAGGGTTTTAGCAAATTCAACCACCGCCTCCTCCTGAGAAAAATGTATAATATCACAAAGGATGACCACCTCACCCGCCTCATAGGAAACCTGCAACAAAACAGGAGCTTTTTTGTTGAGTTCCAGGGCCAGAGAAGCAGATGGCGGAAACAGAAGAACGGCCTGCCTCAGGGGAGCGTGCTCACTCCATCCATGTTCAACATCTACACCAGTGGTTCTCAACCTGGGGGTCGGGACCCCTGGAGGGTTCGCGAAGGGGTGTCAGGGGGGTCAGCAAAGACCATCAGAAAACACAGTATTTTCTGTTGGTCGTTGGGGTCTTTCTGTTGGTCGTTGGGGTCGTTGGGGTCACAGTATTTTCTGTTGGTCGACGGGTCGTTGGTCGTTGTGGGAAGTTTGGCCCAATTCTATCATTGTTGGGGTTCAGAACGCTCCTTGATTGTAGGTGAACTATAAATCCCAGCAAGTACAACTCCCAAATCTCAAGGTCTATTTTCCCAAAACCCCATGAGTGTTCACATTTGGGCATATGGAATGTCCGTGCCAAGTTTGGTCCAGATCCATCATTGTTGGAGTCTAGAGTGCTCTCTGGATATAGGCGAACTTCAACTCCCAAACTCAAGGTCAATGCCAACCAAACCCTTCCAGAATTTTCTGTCGGTCATGGGAGTTCTGTGTGCCAATTTTAGTTCAATTCCATTGTTGGTGGGGTTCAGAATGCTCTTTGTTTACAGGCTAACTATAAATCCCAGCAACTACAACTCCCAAATGGCAAAATCAATCCCCCCGCCAACCTCATCAGTATTCAAATTTGGGCATACTGGGTATTTGTGCCAAATTTGCTCCAGTGAATGAAAATACGTCCTGCAGATCATTATTTACATGGTGATTCATAATGTTAGGGTTATGGTTGGGGGTCACCACAACATGAGGAACTATATTAAGGGGTCACGGCATTAGGAAGGTTGAGAATCACTGATCTACACAAATGACCAGCCACTGCCAGAAGGGACAGAGAGCTTCATCTATGCCGATGATCGTGCCATCACCGCTCAAGCAGGGAACTTTGAGATGGTAGAACAGAAGCTCTCCGACTTGTCCAGAGTGGTCCACGCTTTGGTTACATCCCATTTAGACTACTGCAACGCTCTCTACGTGGGGTTGCCCCTGAAGACTGCCCGGAAGCTGCAGCTAGACCAACGCTCGGCAGCCATACTACTAACGGGTGCTGGGTACAAGGAGCACACCACTCCGCTGTTACACTGCTGCCAATTAGCTTCCGAGCACAATTCAAAGTGCTGGTGTTAACCTATAAAGCCCGAAACGACTCCGGCCCTGATTACCTCTCCGAACGTGTTCTCCCCTATGAACCATCAAGATTATTAAGAAGATATTGACAAGCCGGAATGTGTCCAGAGGAGAGCGACTAAAATGATAAAAGGTCTGGAGAACAAGCCCTATGAGGAGCGGCTTAAGGAGCTGGGCATGTTTAGCCTGAAGAAGAGAAGGCTGAGAGGAGATATGATAGCCATGTATAAATATGTGAGAGGAAGCCACAGGGAGGAGGAGGGACCAAGCTTGTTTTCTGCTTCCTTGGAGATTAGGACGCAAGGGAACAATGGCTTCAAACTACAAGAGAGGAGATTCCATCTGAACATGAGGAAGAACTTCCTGACTGTGAGAGCCGTTCAGCAGTGGAACTCTCTGCCCCGGAGTGTGGTGGAGGCTCCTTCTTTGGAAGCTTTGAAACAGAGGCTGGATGGCCATCTGTCAGGGGTGATTTGAATGCAATATTCCTGCTTCTTGGCAGAATGGGGTTGGACTGGATGGCCCATGAGGTCTCTTCCAACTCTTTGATTCTATGATTCTATGATTAAGATCGTCTGGAGAGACCCTGCTCTCGGTCCCACCGGCCTCGCAAGTGCGTCTAGTGGGGACAAGGGACAGGGCCTTCTCGGTGGTGGCCCCTCGACTCTGGAACTCTCTCCCACTGGAGATCAGAACCGCCCCTTCTATCCTGACATTTAGGAAACAGGTGAAGACTTGGTTATGGAGACAGGCATTCGACGAGTGAGCCAACACCCTGAGATATGGATGGAGGATGATGAGCAACGATTTTAGTGTGACGACTGACCATTATAGTTATTGATTGCAATCTGCTGTTTTAATGTTTTACTGTAATATGTATTATGATGTTTTATTGATTGTATGTGATACTATGGTTGGAAACCGGTTTGAGTCCCTCAAGAGAGGTGAGAAGGCTGGTATACAAAACTTTTAAATAAATAAATAAATAAATAATACAGGGAAAACCAGCTGATCCCTAATCCATCTAAAACACAGACATGTGCCTTTCACCTTAAGAACAGACAAGCATCCCGAGCTCTGAGGATGACCTGGGAAGGAATCCCACTGGAGCATTGCAACACACCCAAATACTTGGGAGTCACTCTGGACCGTGCTCTGACCTACAAAAAGCACTGCCTGAACATCAAACAAAAAGTGGGTGCTAGAAACAACATCATACGAAAGCTGACTGGCACAACCTGGGGATCACAACCAGACACAGTGAAGACATCTGCCCTTGCGCTGTGCTACTCTGCTGCTGAGTATGCATGCCCAGTGTGGAACACATCTCACCACACTAAAACAGTGGATGTGGCTCTTAATGAGACATGCCACATTATCACGGGGTGTCTGCGCCCTACACCACTGGAGAAATTACACTGCTTAGCTGGTATTGCACCACCTGACATCCGCCGGGAAGTAGCAGCCAATAGTGAAAGGACCAAGGCAGAGACATCTCCAGCTCATCCCCTGTTTGGGTATCAGCCAGCACGTCAACGACTTAAATCAAGAAATAGTTTTCTAAGATCTACAGAGACACTCGCTGGAACATCTCAGCAAGCGAGAGTCCAAAAGTGGCAGGCTCAAACCCAGCACCTCAATCAGATACCAGTTGAGAGACTCTCTCCTGGACACACAGCAAACTGGACGACTTGGAAGGCTCTGAACAGACTGCGCTCTGGCACCACGAGATTCAGAGCCAACCTTAAGAAATGGGGCCACAAAGTGGAATCCTCGACATGCGAGTGCGGAGAAGAACAAACCACTGACCACCTGCTGCAATGCAACCTGAGCCCTGCCACATGCACCATGGAGGACCTTCTTGCGGCAACACCAGAGGCACTCCAAGTGGTCAGATAGTGGTCAAAGGACATTTAATCAACTACCAAGTTTGCAAAGCTATTACTTCCTCCACAGAAAAATCAAGGAATCTTACCAATGTTGGCCAGGCTCAGGTGCAGGCGGCCTCTGACCGAAGCCTCCACGCCGATGGGCTTGACCAACCCGTGCTGGAAAGCGTCCCCGCTCGTCACCGTTGCATCTTGCTTGTACTCCATGGCGAGGACTTCCAGCTCATGGTGGACTTGGACGGCTGTCCGGCCCTGGCGGAGCAGGTGCTATAGAGCGATAGAACAAAAAAAAAAGGAAGTTTCTGCAAAAATATTTTTATTGTCGAAGGCTTTCATGGCCGGAATCACTGGGTTGTTGTAGGTTTTTTTTCGGGCTATATGGCCATGTTCTAGAGGCATTCTCTCCTGACGTTTCGCCTGCATCTATGGTAAGCATCCTCAGAGGTAGTGAGGTCAATGCAAGTGCTGAGGGAACACTGTATTCCTTGTTTAGGGAATAATGTGGACAATGTATTGTCAAAGGCTTTCGGCGAAACGTCAGGAGAGAATGCCTCTAGAACATGGCCATATAGCCCGAAAAAAACCTACAACAACCCAGTAATTCCGGCCATGAAAGCCTTCGACAATACATTGTCCACATTATTCCCTAAACAAGGAATACAGTGTTCCCTCAGCACTTGCATTGACCTCACTACCTCTGAGGATGCTTACCATAGATGCAGGCGAAACGTCAGGAGAGAATGCCTCTAGAACATGGCCATATAGCCCGAAAAAAACCTACAACAACCCAGTATTCCGGCCATGAAAGCCTTCGACAATACATTGTCCACATCATTCCCTAAACAAGGAATACAGTGTTCCCTCAGCACTTGTATTGACCTCACTACCTCTGAGGATGCTTGCCATAGATGCAGGCGAAACGTCAGGAGAGAATGCCTCTAGAACATGGCCATATAGCCCGAAAAAAAACCTACAACAACCCAGTAATTCCAGCCATGAAAGCCTTCGACAATACATTGTCCACATCATTCCCTAAACAAGGAATACAGTGTTCCCTCAGCACTTGTATTGACCTCACTACCTCTGAGGATGCTTACCATAGATGCAGGCGAAACGTCAGGAGAGAATGCCTCTAGAACATGGCCATATAGCCCGAAAAAAAACCTACAACAACCCAAAAATATTTTTAATCTCCTAGGCCCTTGGGAAGAGCTCGATAGCACCGGGACTGTGGGGTCATGAGTTCGAAGCCAGCCTAGGTCAGCGTGAGCTTCAAACCAATTTGTGTAGTTTGCTGTCAACCTTTGCAGCCCGAAAGACAGTTGCATCTGTCAAGTAGGAAATTTAGGTACCGCTTATGCAGGGAGGCTAATTTACAACACCATACAACTCTCCAGCAGCATGTCAGGAGTCAATTTCTTTTCTTTTTTTAAATATCATCTTTATTAAGAGTTTCCTTATGTTACAAATCAAATGAAAGAGTTGAAAGGAGAGAAAAGTATAATGATGATAGTAATAGAATAAGATGAAATAAAATAAAGAGTAGATGAAGTAAGAAAAGAAAAGAAAAACATGTGGGGAAAGGAAGAATAAGAGAAGCCAAGGGTGAGAAAAGCAGTAGAGAGGAAGAAGGGGGGGGGGGGGGGGAGAGAGAGAGAGAGAAGAGATAGGAGGGAAAGAGAGAGAATAGAGTCTGAGAATAGTAGTGGTATGAGAAAGGAGAGAGAGTATAGTCTAAGAAAAGCGATAGTAAGAAGTTTAAAAAAAAGATAATGGAGACAGTAGGTTCTTGTGGGTTTTTTCGGGCTATAGAGCCATGTTCTAGAGGCATTTCTCCTGACGTTTCGCCTGCATCTATGGCAAGCATCCTCAGAGGTAGTGAGGTCTGTTGGAATTAGGACAATGGGTTTATATATCTGTGGAATGGCTGGGGTGGGGCAAAGGACTCTTCCCTGCTGGAGCTAGGTGTGAATGTTTCAGCTGATCACCTTCATTAGCATTTGAAGGCCTGCCTGAGCCTGGGAAAATCTCTTGCTGGGAGGTGTTAATCTGTGCCTGGTTGTTTCCTCTCTGTTGTTTTGCTGTTGTAATTTTAGAGTTTTTTAATACTGGTAGCAAGATTTTGTTCATTTTCATGGTCTCTTCCTTTCTGTTGAAATTGTCCACATGCTTGTGGATTTCAATGGCTTCTCTGTGTAGTCTGACATGGTGGTTGTTGGTGTGGTCCAGCATTTCTGTGTTCTCAAATAATATGCTGTGTCCAGGCTGGTTCATCAGGTGCTCTGCTATGGCTGACTTCTCTGGTTGGAGTAGTCTGCAGTGCCTTTCATGTTCCTTGATTCATGTCTGGGCAATGCTGCTGCGTTGGGTGGTCCCTCTGTAGACTTGTCCACAGCTGCATGGTATGCAGTAGACTCCTGAAGAGGTGAGAGGATCCCTCTTGTCCTTTGCTGAACATAGCATTTGTTGGATTTTCTTGGTGGGTTTGTAGACTGTATGTTTACCGTATATGGGAGCAACTGAGTTTTGGGTCTTCAGAGGAACCAACGTTTAGTCTAGAGAGCAACCAAAATAATGTTATGGTTGGGGGTCACCACAACATGGGGAACTGTATTAGGGGGTCGCGACATTACGAAGGTGTAGAAACACTGGTATAAGGGTAAGTGGGGATTATTGAGCTTATAGTATTGATATTATTATTAATCATGATTATAGATTTATTTGTACACTAGCTGTCCCCTGCCACGCATTGCTGTGGTCCAGTCTGTGAATATGCTTTGTGTGTGTGTATGTGTGTGTGTATTTGTGTATACATTTTTTGTTTGTTTGTGTGTATTATATATATATGGTTTTGCGCATGTGTTGTAATGAATTTTTTGGGTTTTTTTCTCTTCTGTTGTGTTTTTCGGTGTTTTTATTAGTGATGGTCACTCATTGGCCTGATAGGTGTATTGTGTCCAAATTTGGTGTCAATTCGTCCAGTGGTTTTTGAGTTATGTTAATCCCACAAACGAAGATTACATTTTTATTTATATAGATAACAACACAGCACGCATGCATATTTGGTCCAAGGGTCTGGGATTCGTCTCTGAATATTATTTATTTATTTATTTATTTACAGTATTTATATTTTGCCCTGCTCAGGGCGGATTAGACTGTAGGACTGTGTCAGACTGTAGGATCTATATAGCAATATTAAATAACCACTCACAAGCTGTTTTGCTTTGAAATTGATATATTGCTTGTATCTCTGCAGCAAAGACACTGCAGCAAAGAGGAGATATGATAGCCATGTATAAATATGTGAGAGGAAGCCACAGGGAGGAGGGAGCAAGCTTGTTTTCTGCTTCCTTGGAGACTAGGACGCGGAACAATGGCTTCAAACTACAAGAGAGGAGATTCCATCTGAACACGAGGAAGCACTTCCTGACTGTGAGAGCCGTTCAGCAGTGGAACTCTCTGCCCCGGAGTGTGGTGGAGGCTCCTTCTTTGGAAGTTTTTAAGCAGAGGCTGGATGGCCATCTGTCAGGGGTGATTCGATTGCAATATTCCTGCTTCTTGGCAGGGGGTTGGACTGGATGGCCCAGGAGGTCTCTTCCAACTTTTTGATTCTATGATTCTATGATTACAATGTACATATACATGGCAAACATTCAATACCATAGACACAAAACATATATAGACAGACACACAGAGGCTATTTAACATTCCAGCTTTTTCATGTGGGTATTCTGGCCACCAGGGGAGCTGTCACTTTGTCCATTTGCGACACCAATTGAGTACTTCCTCATTCTTTTGCACGCTGTGTCAGACTGTAGGATCTATATATGAGGGGTAATTTTTAAGGAATGTCCGTTGGAACATAAGTACACGATGAAAGTTTATTTCAAAAAAGTAAATTTATTTTCAGAAAGTACATACTTCACTCTATTTTTCGACATAGTTGCCAAGTTTGTTCAAACACTTACCATACCTCTGAACCAATTTCACGAATCCTCACTTCAGCTGAAGCCACCAAATCGTCTGTAATCAAAGAAGGGCGACCGGAGCAGTCCTCATCATGGACATTGTCACGGCCATCTTTGAATTGTCGTATCCACTTACGCACTTTGCTTTCACTCATAACAGTATCACCGTACACTTCACAAATCTGTCGAAGAATTTCTGCAGCAGGCAGGTTCCTTGCTGACAAAAACCGTATCACTGAGCGAACCTCACTTGCGGAGGGTGAGTTGATAGTCTTAAACATTTTTAAAGCACAGAACAGAACCGTACAGGTGAGCTACAGAGCGGAAACTGAGCACAGTTGTTCCCGAGGCATGGTGGTACACGACGCACGCACTCGTTGTGGTATGCGCGCAAACTACTAGTGTCTACAACAAAACGGACCTTACTTAAAAAATACCCCTCGTAGCAATATTAAATAACCACTCACAAGCCGTTTTGCTTTGAAATGGATATATTGCTTGTATCTCTGCAGCAGAGAAAGACACTATTGACTTTTTCCCACCACCACTTCCTTTTATACACCTTTCCTGCCCATCTCCCCTTCTTCTCCATTTCCTTATTAGAACTTGTTGCTTCACAAAAATTCCAATACAAGGTTTCCAGCTCCTCTGCTGGCTTTAAAGTGTCACAGAGAGAGAATTGATTCAGCCAGGATGATTCAGTCAGGATGTCATGGAGGGAATTTGTGATGTCTTCATGCTGTCAGAAATTGACTCCTTAACTTAATTTTTGAGGGGTCATGTACCACCGGTGTGCCACTTTCAACCAATTCTCTTTTAGATCTATTGCATATGTATATTTGATCTTTATCTTCCAATTTTTTTTCCCAGTCTTCTCTTCTTATTGTTTTTCCCATATTCTCGTTCCATCTTTTCATATATTTTCTTTCGCCTTTTTTTTCCATATTCCATTCTAATAATTTCTTATATAACTTGGTTATTACCTTTCTTTCAATTTTTAGTAAAATTAAGTAACTCCTATAAAAATATAAATATAAAATGTTGGAAATGTGGAAGGATGGACGGTTCTTATTTCCACATGTGGTGGACGTGTCCGAGAGCGAAATTATTCTGGAAAAAAATCCACGAAGAAATACAAGAAATATTACATATAAAAATCCCATTTAACCCAGAAATTTTCTTACTTGGCATAACAGACACAAAGATGGACAAAAATACAGATAAGCTTCTTTTCTTATTGAATACAGCAGCAAGGATCTGCTATGCAAAACTTTGGAAGAAACATGACATTCCAGAAATTGAGGACTGGTCAGAAAAAATAATGGACATTAGAAACATGGACAGATTAACGTATCTGATCTCAAAAAATGAAGGAACCCAATAAAAGAAACTGACTGGACGAATGTGACAAACTATTTGAAACAGAAAAATGGAAATATATCAACATAAATAGAAGAAAAAACAGAAAAGAAAACACTGATGGAAGAAAGAAAAGGAAAACCCACTTAGAAGATACACAGGAAGTCAACGAGGGAGACATATACCAGCTGTCTCCATTATATTGTCGAAGGCTTTCATGGCTGGAATCACTAGGTTCTTGTGGGTTTTTTCGGGCTATAGAGCCATGTTCTAGAGGCATTTCTCCTGACGTTTTGCCTGCATCTATGGCAAGCATCCTCAGAGGTAGTGAGGTCTGTTGGAATTAGGACAATGGGTTATATATCTGTGGAATGGCTGGGGTGGGGCAAGGAGCTCTTCCCTGCTGCAGTTAGGTGTGAATGTTTCAGCTGATCACCTTCATTAGCATTTGAAGGCCTGCCTGAGCCTGGGAAAATCTCTTGCTGGGAGGTGTTAATCTGTGCCTGGTTGTTTCCTCTCTGTTGTTTTGCTGTTGTAATTTTAGAGTTTTTTTAATACTGGTAGCCAGATTTTGTTCATTTTCATGGTCTCTTCCTTTCTGTTGAAATTGTCCACATGCTTGTGGATTTCAATGGCTTCTCTGTGTAGCCTGACATGGTGGTTGCTGGTGTGGTCCAGCATTTCTGTGTTTGGGGAGCCTCTCCCCGACCAGATGTCTTTGTGACAGAAGAGCAAACCACAGACCACCTTTTACAATGCAGTCTGAGTCCTCCCACATGCACATAGGAGGACCTTCTTACAGCAACACCAGAGGCACTCCAAGTGGCTAGCTACTGGTCAAAGGCATCCTCCCCTGGATCCCCAATTAAAACATTCTTTTCACATTCCGACCTTGACTCCCATGGGAAACCTAACACCAGACTGTCAGCCTCTTTTTCTGTCTGCACTGGCACATCTAATGCAGGCTTGGCTGTACCGAAATTACTACTCTATGTTAAATTTTTGGTGTATAGCTCTATGTTTACATATGGCAGATAGGGAAGAATAGGCACAGACAGGGTAGCAACAGCAGAGATAGGATTCATTTGCATATTGAAGCCGATTGGTCATATGCAGATTAGCGTAGGCCCAGGATTTGAAAAGGTTGCTAGGCCAAAATGACAGTTGGGAAGAGCAGAGCTAAACATTTCAAAGGGGCGGAGCCAAAGTTTAAAAATAGGCAGTTAGAGAGTAAAAAGAGATGAGTTAGGAATTGCAGTTTGTGAAGAGAGTTAGGGATCCCTGTTTGTGAGAGACAGTTAGGAACTTCTGTGAGAGAAAAGAGTTAGGAACTCCTGTTAGAAATAAGCAGTTATAAAGATGTGTTAAAGACTACTGATATAGAGAAACAGTTAGTTAAATAGAACATAGGTTTTAGGAACATAAAGAAAGCCAGTGGTGCTTTAGTCAGAATATAATTTCAGTCAAGAGTGTGTAAAGCAAGTAACATGTTTGTGAATGTGAAACACTGAAAGTCTATTTCAGAAAAGTAAACCAAGTATATTATACTGACTGTAAGCGTCAAGATTGCAACAAAACACAAATGTAACCACAAGTGTTGGAGCCAGAAGTTATAAATAAACTGTGTTACTTTGTTATACAGAAGTGTGTCTCAGTGCCTGTACAAAGGTTAAACAGTACACAGAAAGTCCCAGCTAATATAAAAGAAGAAATTGAATCATTATAAGAGTAAAGAGGTTTTTCTTAAATAAATAAATAGTCTCTCTCCCTCGCTACATTGGCCATCCCAGAATCCTCAGCTTCATCATGGCTAACAACACTCTCCTGTCCAAAATCCCCACTTCCAGACTCCTTTGGGTCTGCAGGATCCTGTGGCATTGAAACCTCAGGCAATGAAACCAGTGCAGGGTGAACCACTACAGGTTAATGACTGACTTGGAGATCTCTCATAGGAATCCTTGGCCCCGAGGTGGCGCTCACCTTCATCTTCACAGCCGCAGATCCAAGCAGGAGCAAGGAGTCCCCGTCCCAGGCGTCAATGTGGAGGGAATGCTGGGCCAGGTAGCGGAGGAACCACTGCTGCTCCCCGGCCTTCAGGAAGCTGGGGTCCACCATATACCGAAGCTGGAAACCCGGAGAGCCTGCAGAGGACAAGCACACACCAGGGATTCACTCACCAACAGCTGCAGTACTTCAGTCTACACCAAACTGCTCAGCGACTCAGCCACTTCTCTCCGCTGTAGTCAGGCCGTTCCAGTTTCCTCCACCAGCAACCCTCCGAACCAACTGGGTTAACTCTGGTTCTGGTCACCAAGCTTTCAGGTCTGGATCAATAGCAATTCCTTGGTTCTTGGTCTGGGACTGGGCCCATAACCGAATTGTCAGAGTTTGGTGGTGTACAGCAAAAGGAATGCTAGATCAGCAGACACTGTGTTGCAAAATAAGGACTCTGCAGGCTTTGAGTTACAAAAGAAACTAAGTTTACTAAGCACATTCAATAGAACAAATCAAGAACTTTGGTCCAAAAGCAAGGTGCTGGTTACTGGAGCTGATGAACAACTGCACTGCATCCTGTCAGATCCCCAAAATCTGGAGGAAAGTAAGGATCATCGCCATCTTGAAGCCAGGCAAAGACCGTAACGACCCAAAAAGCTACAGACCAATCTCCCTGTTGTGCCACCTCTACAAAGTTCTGGAGAGACTTATTTTGCATAGAATTATGGAAAAAATAGACCCATGTCTGATCCCACAGCAAGCTGGCTTCAGAAAAGGCAAAAGCTGCACATGGCAAGTGCTGAACCTGACTCAGCACATAGAAGATGGCTTTGACAGGCAGCAGATCACAGGAGCTCTCTTCATAGACTTGTCAGCAGCCTATGAGACTGTGAACCACCGCCTCCTCCTGAGAAAAATGTTTAATATCACAAAGGATGATCGTCTCACCTGCCTCATAGGAAACCTGCTACAAAACAGGAGCTTTTTTGTTGAGTTCCAGGGCCAGAGAAGCAGATGGCGGAAACAGAAGAACGGCCTGCCTCAGGGGAGCGTGCTTGCTTCATCCATGTTCAACATCTATACAAATGACCAGCCACTGCCAGAAGGGACAGAGAGTTTCATCTATGCTGATGATCGTGCCATTACCACTCAAGCAGGGAGCTTTGAGATGGTTGAAAAGAAGCTCTCTGAAGCTCTAGGTGCTCTTACTGCCTACTACAGGGAAAACCAACTGATCCCTAATCCATCTAAAACACAAACATGCGCCTTTCACCTTAAGAACAGAGAAGCATCCCGAGCTTTGAGGATTACCTGGGAAGGGATCCCACTGGAGCATTGCAGCGCACCCAAATACCTGGGAGTCACTCTGGACCGTGCTCTGACCTACAAGAAGCACTGCCTGAACATCAAGCAAAAAGTGGGCGCTAGAAACAACACCATACGAAAGCTGACTGGCACAACCTGGGGATCACAACCAGACACAGTGAAGACATCTGCCCTTGCGCTATGCTACTCTGCTGCTGAGTATGCATGCCCAGTGTGGAACACATCTCACCACACTAAAACAGTAGATGTGGCTCTTAATGAGACATGCCGCATTATCACGGGGTGTCTGCGCCCTACACCACTGGAGAAATTACACTGCTTAGCCGGTATTGCACCACCTGACATCCGCCGGGAAGTAGCAGCCAATAGTGAAAGGACCAAGGCAGAGACATCTCCAGCTCACCCCGTTTGGGTATCAGCCAGCACGTCAACAACTTAAATCAAGACATAGTTTTCTTAGATCTACAGACACACCCCAGCAAGCGAGAGTCCAAAAGTGGCAGGCCCAAACCCAGCACCTCAACCCATGGGTGATACCAGATGAGAGACTCCCCCCTGGGCACACAGAAGACTGGGCGACTTGGAAGGCGCTGAACAGACTGCGCTCTGGCACCACGAGATGCAGAGCCAACCTCAAGAAATGGGGCTACAGGGCGGAATCCTCGGCATGCGAGTGCAGAGAAAAGCCAACCACAGACCACCTGCTGCAATGCAACCTGAGCCCTGCCACATGCACAAGGGAGGACCTCCTTGCAGCAACACCAGAGGCACTCCAAGTGGCCAGATACTGGTCCAAGGACATTTAACCAACTACCAAGTTTGCAAAATCTGTTTTTTTTTATCTCTGTGTTTGTTTTGTTCTGTTAGAATTGTAACACAATGGTATGGTTGCTGATGACACAATAAATAAATAAATAGACATATCTTACTACAGCGAGCTACAATTCAGGAACTAGTCAAAACGAAAGCGTCTTCACATGTGCTTATCTCTTCTTGCTGAGACTAGTTACTCCCTTCTGTTCCCAACAAGAGCAAACCTTATCTGACTTCTCTCAAGGTCACATAATCACAGCCTCATGGTATGAACATTCTGCACAGCACTTCTAATACACAGTGGAATCCATCTTGGAAATACATAGAAGCACATTTAAAACACATACATAACTAAATTCATCCTGACAGTCATTACACTCCCGTTCTCATGGAAGTGACTCCTAGACATGTGCAAAAATGTCTAAAGTCTCTGAATTCGGAAGAAATTCGGAAGTTTTGTAAGTTGGAATTCATATCCGGCACGTTTGCGTGGCCTGCACCAAATGTAGTTTGGGAAGGGAGGAGCTCTATGCCAGAGAATACAAAAGGCCCTGCCCTAAACTACATTTCCCAGAATGCATCAGCATTGGAAGATACCAATCAGGGAATTTTTTAATGGTATATATCAAAATGTATTATTTGTTATCTATGGTTTATGTAGTGTGCAATTTGTGTATTTGGTTTATGATTGTTTTTTGTTTGCATTTATATAGAATCATGAAATCTTTGAGCTCCAGTCCAACCCCATTCTACCAAGAAGCAGGAAAAAGTGCCTTCAAAGCACCCCTGACAGATGGCCATCCAGCCTCAATCCTAGATGTGTGGGAAGTGTTCGACTTGTGATTTTGGCATACGAAATCCAGCATATATAACTTGTTTGCGGTGACATACTATGTTTTTTTTTGTCAGTAAAATAATAATATAAATAGTAATAATAATAATAATAATAATAATTTATATAAATAAAAATGTAATGTTCGTTTGTGGGATTAACAGAACTCAACAACCATTGGACGAATTGACACCAAATTTGGACACAAGACACCTAACAACCCAATGTATGTCCTTCACTCAAAAAAAATGATTTTGTCATTTGGGAGTTGTAGTTGCTGGGATTTATAGTCAAAGAACGACAATCAAAGAACATTCTGAACCCCACCAACGATGGAATTCAACCAAACTTGGCACACAGTTCTCCCATGACCAACAGAAAATACTGGAAAGATTTGGTGGGCAGTGTCCTTTGGTTTTGGAGTTGTAGTTCACCTACATCCAGAGATCACTGTAGACTCAAACAATGATGGATCTGGAGCAAGCTCTACACAAATACTCAATATGCCCAAATGTGAATACTGGTGGAGTTAGGGGAAAATAGAATCTTGACATTTGGGAGTTGTAGTGGCTGAGATTTATAGTTCGCCTACAATCACAGAGCATTCTGAACCCCACCAACGATAGAATTGGGCCAAACCTCCCACACAGAACAGCCATGTGGGCCACAGCAACGTGTGGCAGGGGACGGCTAGTCTATATAAATAAAAATGTAATGTTCGTTTGTGGGATTCACATCATTCAAAAACCACAGGACAAACTGACACCCAATTTGGACACAATACACTTCTCAGGCCAATGAGTGACCATCAATCATAAAAAACACTGAAAATCACAGTAGAAGGAACTTAAAAAGCCAAAAAAATGCATTACAAAGCATGTGCAAAACCACATATATACACATATACACAAATATATACATATATACACACACAAAACACATATACACAGACTGGGCCACAGCAACGGCTAGTAATCTATATAAATAAAAATGTCATGTTCGTTTGTGGGATTCACATAATTCAAAAACCCTGGATAAATTGACACCAAATTTGGACACAATACACCTATCAGGCCAACAAACACTGGAAAATACAGCCAAAAACCAAAAAATACATTACAACGCCTACTTAAAACCACACAAACAAACATATATACACATACACACAAATATATATACACACAAAACGCATGGCAGGGGACTGCTAATAATAATAATAATAATAATAATAATAATTATTATTATTATTATTATAAATATAAATATAATAAAATAATAATAAAAGTAATAATAATAATAATAAATGCACAGAGACCATCATGGTCAGGGTGAAACCTCCAGGCCTTCATTCACTTTCTCTCTTTCTCTCTTTCTCTCTCTTTCTTCCTTCCTTTCTTTCTTTCTTTCTTCCATTCATTCATTCATTCATTCATTCTGGTCTTACCGGCGTTCAGGGTTCCATCTTGATTAATCTGAATTAAAAGGTGTGGGGAAGTGCTGGGCGAAGTTGCTCCGGAGGAATCTGGCTTGACCAGCTGCAGCCGTGGCGTTGTGACCGGAGGGAAGCGGTAGAACTGGAAGGTGAAATAGGTGCTCTTCGGAGACGTCTCAGCAGCCGCTGGGTCCTGCGGGATCCTTTGTCAAACAACAGCCCAAAGGAATGGAAAGCAGTTAAGCTCTATTTATTTATTTATTTGAGACCTTTATACCCAACCTTTCAATGTCAAAAAAAATGCAACACCACCTGAGTTCTGCGAGTGCAGCATTTTTCCGAATGAAGCATAGAGTGTTTGAGGACCAGGACATCCGTAGGGAGACCAAGGTGATTGTTTATAAAGCTATTGTCCTCCCAACCCTGCTATACACCTGCAAAACGTGGACTGTCTACAGACGTCAACACTGACACCGAAATACAACACCGCCTGAGCTCTGTGAGTGGAGCATTTTTCTGAATGAAGCATAGAGTGTTTGAGGATTGGGACATCCGTAGGGAGACCAAGGTGCTTGTTTATAAAGCTATTGTCCTCCCAACCCTGCTATATGCCTGCGAGACGTGGATTGTCTACAGACGTCAACACTGACACCGAAATACAACACCACATGAGATCCGTGAGTGGAGCATTTTTCCAAATGAACTAGAGTGTGTTTGAAGACTGGGACATCCGTAGGGATATCAAAGTGCTTGTTTATAAAGCTATTGTCCCCCCAACCCTGCTATACGCCTGCGAGACACGGACTGTCTACAGACGTCAACACTGACACCGAAATACAACACCGCCTGAGCTTTGCGAGTGTAGCATTTTTCCAAATGAAGCAGACAGTGTTTGAAGACTGGGACATTCGTAGGGATACCAAGGTGCTTGTTTAGAAAGCTATTGTCCTCCCAACCCTGCTCTATGTCTGCGAGACGTGGACTGTCTACAGATGTCAACACTGACATCGAAATACAACACCGCCTGAGCTCTGCGAGTGTAGCATTTTTCAAAATCAAGCACTGTAAAGCAGGATTCCAAGAGACACCAACAAAACAATATCTCATGAGAACATGACAAAGTCCCGAGACCATGGACACAAGAACTACAAGATAATCCAGGCAAACGAGCACAAGCTGCTTGGTTGAGCGAAAAGTTGCTGTTTTCAAACACACTGCTTTGTAATACATGAAAGGATTTCTTTGGCCTCTGACCTCCTTCTTGTTAGCTATTCTCACACTCCTTCGAACTCTGAATTCCAAACGGTCAGCCCAATCTAAGATTCCCGTTTCATCAAGGTCAAGCTGCTCGTTAGTGTCACCCTGATTGCCTTCCTGCCTACTATCAGAAACTGAACTTGCACACCCTGTTCCTCATTGTCTACAACAGGAACATTTTGAACCTGATTGCGAACCTGAGTCCCATCATCCTCATCAGAGTCACTCTGAGACCCCATCTGAGTCACAACACTATCAGTCTGTGGTTCCAGCTGAGTCACAACACCACAGGGAGAAAGGTGGGGTATAAATAAAGATAATAATAATAATAATAATAATAATAATAATAATGGGACTTTGAAGGCAACCATAAGACGTAGCTCCATGACAAATAGTTTGACAGCCTTGATCTAAAAGGAATCACACTGTTGTACTCCAGAGCAGGATCACCTCTGACTTTAAATACCACAGAAATGGGTTAAATAGCAAGCAGTTTATTGAAGATAATGAAAGTCAAAGCAATAAAAAGTAATCCACAATAATCCAAAAAGTAATCCACAGTAAAAAGATAAATTCAATTGATTAAATAGAAACAGGAACAAATAGTCCAAAGAACTCAATGAAACTAGATAACATGAAATCTATTAGGCTTGGGTAACAACAGAAAAATTTGTTTCTAAACTTTTTTCGTTTTTAGGGGTCCATCACGTTTCGTTTTTTAAAAGAATTCCGAAATTTTCCTTTTAAAAATTTCGAAATTTCCGAAATTTCGTATAATAACAAATCGATTCGTTAATGGCGGACGCGATTGCGCAATATGCTAAAAAAAAACCCCTCCAAATGGTACAGGGGGAACTTCTGAAGCTTCCCTCTCCCTCTGTTGTAGACTGTTGGTGTGATAAAACAAACAACAACTATAAAACTTGCACCAGACATGCGAAAATAATTACGAAATAATTACAAAATAATTACGAAACAATTTCGAAATAATTTCGGAATAATTACGAAATAAATTGAAAAAATTGTTTCGAATCTAATTTACTCCTCACACAATTCCTGCATGGCTCAATATTGGATCGTAAGCTAATTTAAATACGAATTAATAACGAATTACGAAATTAACGAACGAAACCGCCCAAGCCTAAATTCTATGTATCAAATCCATGAATCAAACAAAGGCAAAAGTCCAAGAACTTGGCATGAAGAACTTAACGTGAGTCCAACATTGCTTCGCCTGAAGCTGGATTCCTTACTTGGCACTTATAAACCCAGCCCTAATTCCCAAACAGCTAGGAAAGGATTCTTTCTTAATGTTGGCTTCACTTCTAACTTCTGCTGTAATCTGGCCGAGCACTGTAATTGTTGACTTGTTTTTGCTGACTGAAAGACCTTCTCCACTGCTTCATAGACCTGTCAGCAGCCTATGAGACTGTGAACCACCACCTCCTCCTGAGAAAAATGTATAATATCACAAAGCATTACCACCTCACCCACCTCATAGGAAACCTGCTACAAAACAGGAGCTTTTTTGTTGAGTTTCAGGGCCAGAGAAGCAGATGGCGGAAACAGAAGAACGGCCTGCCTCAGGGGAGCGTGCTTGCTCCATCCATGTTCAACATCTACACAAATGACCAGCCACTGCCAGAAGGGACAGAGAGCTTCATCTATGCTGATGATCATGCCATCACTGCTCAAGTAGGGAGCTTTGAGATGGTAGAACAGAAGCTCTCCGAAGATCTAGGTGCTCTTGCTGCCTATTACAGGGAAAACCAGCTGATCCCCAACCCATCTAAAACACAGACATGTGCCTTTCATCTCAAGAACAGAGAAGCATCTCGAGCTCTGAAGATCACCTGGGAAGGAATCCCACTGGAGCATTGCAACACACCCAAATACCTGGGAGTCACTCTGGACCATGCTCTGACCTACAAGAAGCATTGCCTGAACATAAAAAAAAAAGTGGGTGCCAGAAACAATATCATACAAAAGCTGACTGGCACAACCTGGGGATCACAACCAGACACAGCGAAGACATCTGCTCTTCTGCTATGCTACTCTGTTGCTGAGTATGCATGCCCAGTGTGGAACACATCTCACCACACTAAAACAGTGGATGTGGCTCTGAATGAGACATGCCGCATTATCACGGGGTGTCTGCGCTCTACACCACTGGAGAAATTACACTGTCTAGCCGGTATCGCACCACCTGACATCCGCCGGGAAGTGGCAGCCAATAGTGAAAGGACCAAGGCAGAGACATCTCCAGCTCATCCCCTGTTTGGGTATCAGCCAGCACGTCAACGACTTAAATCCAGGCATTGTTTTCTAAGATCTACAGAGAGACTCGCTGGAACGCCTCAACAAGCGAGAGTCCAAAGGTGGCAGGCTCAAACCCAGAACCTCAACCAATGGCTGATACCAAATGAGAGACACAGAGGACTGGGCGACTTGGAAGGCACTGAACAGACTGCGCTCTGGCACCACGAGATGCAGAGCCAACCTTCAGAAATGGGGCCACAAAGTGGAGTCCACAACATGCGAGTGCGGAGAGGAGCAAACCACAGACCACCTGCTGCAATGCAACCTGAGCCCTGCCACATGCACAATGGAGGACCTCCTTGCAGCAACACCAGAAGAACTCCAAGTGGCCAGATACTGGTCAAAGGACATTTAATCAACTACCAAACTCATTCACCCATCATCTAGACTGCATTCATGCCCCACATCCCCAAACCCAGGTCCAGGAAACAGACTCTCATCCCCATTCCCTTCAGGAACATCTACATGAACAGCATCCCTGTTCCCATCAGTTTCAACATGAACATCATTCTCATTCCCATCATCCAAAGCAACCTGATCATCAGACACACACACAGGCTGAACAGGCCGACATACAACAAGGGCTTTACCTGGTGAATGCGAGAAACTGTAAGACAATTTCATTGTTCTGCAAGAGGTCGGCTTCCTCCCTCTGGGGGTCGTAGGTCACGGGATCAGTTGGCTCCACCATTTGGACCGGCTCCTTGTTGCAATCCAGGAGTTGAGGGAAACCGGAGACGCGCAGGCGGGCGAGGGCGGCCCGGGTCAGGACGGTGCTGGAACTAAGAAAAGGAGGAAACAGAGATATGCAAAATGTTGTGCATTGTTTTAAAAATGGAAGAAATGTAATGGAGATAGCAGTCACCAGCCAATCCCTCTCCAATGCCAGAGATACAACTTAATGGTGTAACATTAGAAAATGTGAACCATTTCCGCTCCCTTGGCAGCCACCTCTCCACCAAAGTCAACATTGACACCGAAATACAGCGCCTGAGCTCTGTGAGTGCAGCATTTTCCCGAATGAAGCAGAGAGTGTTTGAGGACCGGGACAACCGCAGGAAGACCAAGGAGCTTGTTTATAAAGCTATTGTCCTCCTAACCCTGCTATACGCTTGTGAGACGTGGACTGTCTACAGATGTCAACATTGACACTGAAATACAACATTGCTGGAGCTCTGCAAATGCAACATTTTCCCGAATGAAGCAGAGAGTGTTTGAGGATCGGGACATCTGTAGGGTGACCAAGGTGCTTGTTTATAAAGCTATTGTCCTCCTAACCCTGCTATACGCTTGTGAGACATGGACTGTCTACAGACGTCACATGCAACTCCTGGAACGATTCCATCAGCACTGCCTCCGGAAAATCCTGCAAATCTTTTGGGAAGACAGGCGGACAAACGTCAGCGTGCTGGAAGAAGCAAAGACCACCAGCATTGAAGCGATGGTCCTCCGCCATCAACTCCACTGGACTGACCAGTGGAGTCCGGATGCCCGACCGCCATCTCCCAAAGCAGTTACTCTACTCCAAACTCAAGAACGGAAAACGGAATGTTGGAAGACAGGAAAAGTGATTTAAAGATGGGCTCAAAGCCAACCTTAAAAACTCTGGCATAGACACTGAGAACTGGGAAGCCCTGGCCCTTGAGTGCTCCAGTTGGAGGTCAGCTGTGACCAGCAGTGCTGCAGAATTCGAGGAGGCACGAGTGGAGGGCGAAAGAGAGAAATGTGCCAAGAGGAAGGCGTGTCAAGCCAATCCCAACCGGGACTGCCTTCCACCTGGAAACCGATGCCCTCACTGCAGGAGAACATTCAGATCAAGAATAGTGCTCCATAGTCACCCCCACCCTGGAGGATTATCCTACTCAGACGAGGGATCGCCTAAGTAAGAAAGTAATGGAGACAAACAGATAGGGAGATTGATCAATCGATCAATAGATAGATGGTGTGACGATGTGTACATTTTATTCCTTTGGTTATGTGTAATTTAAACAGTAGTTTAGGGATGGTAAGTATGGAGGATTGTTTTGTTGGAGATGGTGGCTTGGCGTTAGCTGAGTTGCCATAGCAACAGGGGCGGAGCCAACTGCCTCTTCAGGAGGCGGCTGTTTTAAAAAGTCAGTCAGTAAGCCGGTGAGCTACTGAGAGGACTGAGTCTCTGGGTGGAGATTCAGGGAATGTGTCCGTAGCCGGTGTGCTATAGGAAAGACTGAATCTCAGGGTGGGGATTCAGGGAATCAATTGGTGACCAAAGTGGTTGCAGAGAAGGACCCGGTAGTGAGAGAGCTACAGGGGGTTGTTGATTCTAAATTAAGAATCAAGGTTTGGCTGGGTTTAAGCCTGCTGTGCCTGCTGTGAAACGTTTTGAAGTCTGTGCCTGAGATTACTCATGAAACCTTTCTAATGTAACCATCAAGATTTGTGCCTCTTGTGAAGAAACAGTGAAACATATTATACTCCTGTTAAAATAAACTTGTTACTGTTTTCCTCATGCCTTGCCTGATACAGTTTCTCCTAAGTTGAACAGCCTGCAATAGTGAAGTCAGCCAGAGACAGTAAACGCTACGCTATCCACTGAATAAAACCTTCTGTCATTAACAGTTCCTTTATAAAATAGCTCCTAGGCTGATATTGATCGTTGCCCGGCTTCCCTCACAGTTTAGGTGGCAGTGGGTGTTTTACCACTCACACCTTCACATTTGGTGGCATTCGGTGGCATTAAAACGGTCTCCTTTACAGATGGACGGATAGATTCCATGCTGCCCTTGGTATATTCTTCAGGGTATACAGTCTCAGGTATTCCAGTTTACCCAGTGTCCCCTCTTATTTATTTACCACATTTGTGACACACTCACCTCCCCGAAGGCATTCCCAGAGCGATGATGGGCACGTGGACCGGTGTGAAGGGCAGCTCCTGGAGGTGGTCCACCAACGAGGTGGCCTCCTGAGCCACCAAGGAGCTCCGGCTGAGGTCCGACTCCAAGTGAGTGATGGCACTGTGGAGATTCTCCTGAGCAGAAAGGAAAGGAAACGATGGGCTTCTGGAACAAGCGAACGGAGCTCAACGGGAGCAGGTTCAGGCCCGGCTTACCTCTTGCGCAGCTTGCTTGAGAACTTCTGAGGACAGAGAACTGACGGACGGCTGCAAGGGGGGCTTGGACGCCAGGCGTGCCGGGGACACAGACAGCTGAGATATGGAGAGCTGAAAGGAGAGGCCCCATACTAGCCATTCATACAACAACCCCAAAGGATGCTGAAGAAGAGACATCAAACGGGCAGACTCTTCTCTGCCGGCTTCTTCGCCCACTCGTTCGCTCGCTTGCTCTTCGAATCCCAGCGGCTTTCCTTCCCCCGCTGACCCACTAAGCTCCGGCCTTTCTCTCCTGCCCTCACGCCCCGGAAAGGCCAAACTCTTCAATTTACCAAGGGCTCTGCCTTCCATGAAAAATGAGGAGAAGAACCAAGGCCTTGAAGTGATCTCTCTCTCTCTCTCTCTCTCTCTATATATATATATATATATATACACACAAATACATACATACACACACACACATACTAGCTGTACCCGCCACACGTTGCTATGGCCAACCTTCCTTCCTTCTTTCTCTTCTTTCTTTCTTTCTTTCTTTCTTTCTTTCTTTCTTTCTTTCTTTCTTTCTTTCTCTCCTTTCTTTCCTCCCTGTTTCCTCCCTTCTTTCCTTCCTTTTTCTCTTTCTTTCTCTCCTTCCTCTGTTCCTTCATTACTTCCTTCCCTCCTTTTTTCTCTTTCTTTCTCTCCTTCCTTCCTTCCCTTTTTCTCTTTCTTTCTCTCCTTCCTTTCCTCCCTCCCTCCCTCCCTCCTTCCTTCCTTCCTTCCTTTTCTCTTCCTTTCCTCCTTCCTTCCTTCCCCTTTTCTCTTTCTTTCTCTCCTTCCTCTCCTCCTTCATTCCTTCCTTCCCTTTCTTTCTCTCCTTTCTTTCCTCCCCCCCTTCCTTCCCTTTTCTTTCTTTCTCTTTCCTTTCCTCCCTCCTTCCTTCTTTCCCTTTTTCTCTTTCTTTCTCTCCTTCCTCTCCTCCTTCATTCCTACCTTCCCTTTTTCTCTTTCTTTCTCTCCTTCCTTTCCTTCTTCCTTCCTTTTCTCTTTCTTTCATTCCTTCCTTTCCTCCTTCCTTCCTTCCTTCCTTCCTTCCTTTTCTATTCCTTTCCTCCTTCCTTCCCCCTTTCTCTTTCTTTCTCTCCTTCCTTGCCTTCCTCCCTCCTTCCTTCTGTCTTTCTCTTTCTTTCTTTCTCTCCTTTCTTTCCTCTCTCCTTCCTTCCTTCCTTCCCTTTTTCTCTATCTTTCTCTCCTTCCTTTCCTCCCTCTTTCCTTCCTTCCCATTTTCTCTTTCTTTCGCTCCCTCCTTTCCTCCCTCCCTCCTTCCTTCCCTTTTTCTCTTTCTTTCTCTCCTTCCTCTCCTCCTTCATTCCTTCCTTCCCTTTTTCTTTCTTTCTCTCCTTCCTTTCCTTCTTCCTTTTCCCTTTCTTTCTCTCCTTCCTTTCCTCCTTCCTTCCTTTTCTCTTCCTTTCCTCCTTCCTTCCCTTTTTCTCTCTCTCCTTCCTTTCCTCCCTCCTTCCTCTCCTCCTTCCTTCCTTCCTTCCTTCCCTTTTCTCTTTCTTTCTCTCCTTCCTTTCCTCCCTCCTTCCTTCCTTCCCTTTTTCTCTGTCTTTTTCTCCTTCCTTTCCTCCCTCCTTTCTTTCTTCCCCTTTCCTTTCTCTCTCTTTCCTTTCCTCCCTCCTTCCTTCCCTTATGGGAACTTATGGGAACATATGGAGCTGTTTGAACAGGAGGGTTGACCGCTCCCTGTAACTTGCTCCGGTTAACAATTTGGCCGCTGACCTTTGCACCAGCTGTGGTTTCCGAACCGTCTTCAAGGGCAGCCCAATATAGAGTGCATTACAGTAGTCTAGTCTTGAGGTAACTAAGGCGTGGACCAGCATGGTCATGTCAGATTTCTCGAGGTACGGTCGCAGCTGGCGCAAAGGCCCTCCCGGCCACCGCTGACACAACAGCGTTGAATCCAGGACGAACCCCCAAGCTACGGACCTGCACCCTCAGGGGGAATGTAACCCCGTTGAGCACAGGTTGCCACCCTATACCCCGGTCGGCCCCACGACTGACCAGGAGGACCTCTGTCTTGTCAGGATTCACTTTCAACCTCATTGGATGTTGGCCCTCATCCAGCCCATCACTGGTCCAGCACCCGAGGGGCTTCCTTGGATGTTGGTGGAAAGGAGTAGTAGAGTTGTGTGTCATCTGCATAGAAATGGCACCCAACTCCAAAACTCTGGAACTCCAAAACTTCACAGAATTGGGTGGGATTATTTTAGTCGTGCGCAAATGGTTCCTTGTTGTGTCTTTTAGCCCTAAGGAGTCCATGATTCGCTATTTAGGACTTACCCCGGGACCTTGGGAATCATCTCGAGTGGAAACGAGCACTGGAGGGAAAGGCGGGGAACCTAAGAGAGGACGGAGAGAAGCCAGGTTAGTGGCGGGAAAAATGGACTCTTAAATGGAATGCATATATATAGTTCTAAATGGTTCTAAAGTACTTACAAAACTAAAGTTCTGGTGTTGAAAATTTCAGAATTCTAACTAAACTTGCAAAATTTCGTTATAAATGGCAGTTTCTAATTGGGTCTGTCATAAAAATCACCAATAATGAAATAATAATGACATTTTGAAAGTATAATAATAATAATGAAATTTTGAAATTAATGAGCCGGTAGATAGAAGACATCTTTTTAGTCAGCACAGTCTCTTAGGCGTTCTGCCAGACTGAGAGAGATTGATAACAGAGTCAAGGCTGAAATGAAATCCGTTCCTGGCCGCTTGGGACAATGAGTAGATTAGGGGATAAAAGTGCCAAGTACAGAAACTATAATCAGACGAAGCAATGTTGGAATTGAGTCAAGACGTCTTTCCTGGTCCTTGGAAGCCTTGTCTTCGATAGATTCATGCGTTAAGTGCCTTTTTGATTCAGGATTCAAGTTTTGGAGTTTTACCTTGGAAGTTTCTGTATTTGTTTTTCATGAACTCTGATGGACTAGTTTCCTGGACTATTTGTTCCTGCTTATCTTTCTACCTAATTGGATTTACCTGTTACATGCCAGTAGATAGAAGGCATGTTTTTAGTCCACACAGTCTCTTAGGCGTTCTCCCAGACTGAGAGAGAGATTGATAACAGAGTCAAGGCTGAAATGAAATCCGTTCCTGGCTGCTTGGGACAATGAGTAAATTAGGGGATAAAAGTGCCAAGTACAGAATCATTGTTGGAATTGAGTCAAGACATCTTTCCTAGTCCTTGGAAGCCTTGCCTTGGATAGATTCATGTGTTAAGTGCCTTTTGGATTCATTATTCAAGTTTTGGAGTTTTACCTTGGAAATTTCTGTATTTGTTTTTCATGAACTCTGATGGGCTAATTTCCTGGATTATTTGTTCCTGCTTATCTTTCTACCTAATTGGATTTACCTATTTTTTTGGAGTGCTTTTTACTGATATTGCTTTTAAACTATGTTCAATAAACTGCTTTCATTCCTACTCAGCTGTGTGGTATTTAAAGTCGAGAGGGTTTTCCTGGCCTGGAGTGCAACAAGCATCTGCATTTCCATCGTGTGCAGAGTTTGCTCGATGGCCTTGGTGGTTGGCCAGCACTCCGCGGAGTACAGATCAATCGGTCTCATCAATGTCCTGCAGATTTTCAATTTCAGGTGGACTGGGATCTTATTGCACATTACGCCTCTAGTGGCTATTTTTGAGATGTTGAGATGTAGTCTGAAATAATGCAGATAATTTTTCAACACTTGCACTTGAGTCTGCAATTGTCGGCGGTTAACATACCATCATTGGCATAACATAACATAACATCATGGTCCTTGTGGGTATGAAAGGGATGGCAGGCATGCACATGCTCTCTCGACAACACTTCCTCTCGCCATGATGCTCTCGTCAGGTGGACCTCTCGTTGTATATCTCCGTATATCCTGGTAGCAGACCTGATGCAAATAGTTGTACACATAGCAACAAGTGAAGAATAAAGTCTCCAAAAGGAATTTGGGTGAAAGCCAGAGCTCAAGTGTCTTATTAAAGTGGTGAGTGGCAAAAAGGTCAGAGAATGTGCAATAAATCTCTGCGAATGACAGATAAAGACTCTGCCATGTTTTGGTTTGACCTAACTGCATGCCTTGAGACAAACAGTCCCATGCAAAACTCTGGGAGGATGTGAAAGGAAGGAATAATTCACATACCTACCCAGTGAACGTTTATTTATTTACCCCAACACTGAAACTTATATGTCTCGTCTCGGGAAACAACTCAACCAAAATCTAGTTCCTGGTTTCAGTTAGATTGCAAAACTGCAACAATAAGCATTCCCATTGGCTAGGCTGGATATCACTCAGAGAGAAATTTCAAGCATAATCGGCATTTCCCAAGAATGTGTGGGTCACATTATTGCTTTGCTTGGTTATCGGAAGATCTGCTCACAATGGGTACCCAGGATGCGGATGCCTGAAATAAAAGCGCACAGACTTGAAACTTCAGAGACTGGATCTCACCACCGTACGACACCCTCCAAACAGTCCAGGTTGAGCACCGCCTGACTTCCATCTGTTCCCGATAATGAAAGAAGATCTGCAGGAACATCTGATGAAGACGTTGAGAAAACTGTGAGATGCTGGTTGCGGAAACAGAGTGTCGACTTCTTCTGCGACGGCTTCAGAAAACTTGTTCATTGTTGGCAGAAATCTATCCAATTGTCTGGTGATTGTGTGGAAAAGCGAATAGTGGTTGTTCATCGTTGGCAGAAATGTATCCAATTGTCTGCTGATTATGTGGAAAAGTGAATAGTGGTTGTTCATCGTTGGCAGAAATCTATCCAATTGTCTGGTGATTGTGTGGAAAAGCGAATAGTGGTTGTTCATCGTTGGCAGAAATGTATCCAATTGTCTGGTGATTATGTGGAAAAGTGAATAGTGGTTGTTCATCGTTGGCAGAAATGTATCCAATTGTCTGGTGATTGTGTGGAAAAGGGAATAGTGGTTGTTCATCATTGGCAGAAATGTATCCAATTGTCTGGTGATTTTGTGGAAAAGTGAATAGTGGTTGTTCAGTGTTGGCAGAAATGCATCCAATTGGCTGGTGATTATGTGAAAAAGCGAATAGTGGTTGTTCATAGTTGGCAGAAATTTATCCAATTGTCTGGTGATTATGTGGAAAAGTGAATAGTGGTTCTTCATCACTGGCAGAAATGTATCCAATTGTCTGGTGATTATGTGGAAAAGTGAATAGTGGTTGTTCATCGTTGGCAGAAATGTATCCAATTGTCCGGTGATTCTGTGGAAAAGTGAATAGTGGTTCTTCATCATTGGCAGAAATGTATCCAATTGTCCGGTGATTCTGTGGAAAAGCGAATAGTGGTTGTTCATCGTTGGCAGAAATGTATCCAATTGTCCGGTGATTATGTGGAAAAGTGAATAGTGGTTGTTCATCATTGGCAGAAATGTATCCAATTGTCTGGTGATTATGTGGAAACGCGAATAGTGGTTGTTCATCGTTGGCAGAAATGTATCCAATTGTCTGGTGATTATGTGGAAAAGCAAATAGTGGTTGTTCATCGTTGGCAGAAATGTATCCAATTGTCTGGTGATGATGTGGAAAAGTGAATAGTGGTTGTTCATCGTTTGCAGAAATGTATCCAATTGCCTGGTGATTGTGTGGAAAAGCAAATAGTGGTTGTTCATCATTGGCAGAAATGTATCCAATTGCCCGGTGATTATGTGGAAACACGAATAGTGGTTGTTCATCGTTGGCAGAAATGTATCCAATTGTCTGGTGATTATGTGGAAAAGCGAATAGTGGTTGTTCATCGTTGGCAGAAATGTATCCAATTGTCTGGTGATGATGTGGAAAAGTGAATAGTGGTTGTTCATCGTTTGCAGAAATGTATCCAATTGCCTGGTGATTGTGTGGAAAAGCAAATAGTGGTTGTTCATCATTGGCAGAAATGTATCCAATTGCCCGGTGATTATGTGGAAACACGAATAGTGGTTGTTCATCGTTGGCAGAAATGTATCCAATTGTCTGGTGATTATGTGGAAAAGCGAATAGTGGTTGTTCATCGTTGGCAGAAATGTATCCAATTGTCTGGTGATGATGTGGAAAAGTGAATAGTGGTTGTTCATCGTTTGCAGAAATGTATCCAATTGCCTGGTGATTGTGTGGAAAAGCAAATAGTGGTTGTTCATCATTGGCAGAAATGTATCCAATTGCCCGGTGATTATGTGGAAACACGAATAGTGGTTGTTCATCGTTGGCAGAAATGTATCCAATTGTCTGGTGATTACGTGGAAAAGCGAATAGTGTTTGTTCATAATTGGCAGAAATGTATCCAATTGTCTGGTGATTATGTGGAAAAGGGAATAGTGGTTGTTCATCATTGGCAGAAATGTATCCAATTGTCTGGTGATTTTGTGGAAAAGTGAATAGTGGTTGTTCAGTGTTGGCAGAAATGCATCCAATTGGCTGGTGATTATGTGAAAAAGCGAATAGTGGTTGTTCATAGTTGGCAGAAATTTATCCAATTGTCTGGTGATTATGTGGAAAAGTGAATAGTGGTTCTTCATCACTGGCAGAAATGTATCCAATTGTCTGGTGATTATGTGGAAAAGTGAATAGTGGTTGTTCATCGTTGGCAGAAATGTATCCAATTGTCCGGTGATTCTGTGGAAAAGTGAATAGTGGTTCTTCATCATTGGCAGAAATGTATCCAATTGTCCGGTGATTCTGTGGAAAAGCGAATAGTGGTTGTTCATCGTTGGCAGAAATGTATCCAATTGTCCGGTGATTATGTGGAAAAGTGAATAGTGGTTGTTCATCATTGGCAGAAATGTATCCAATTGTCTGGTGATTATGTGGAAACGCGAATAGTGGTTGTTCATCGTTGGCAGAAATGTATCCAATTGTCTGGTGATTATGTGGAAAAGCAAATAGTGGTTGTTCATCGTTGGCAGAAATGTATCCAATTGTCTGGTGATGATGTGGAAAAGTGAATAGTGGTTGTTCATCGTTTGCAGAAATGTATCCAATTGCCTGGTGATTGTGTGGAAAAGCAAATAGTGGTTGTTCATCATTGGCAGAAATGTATCCAATTGTCTGGTGATTATGTGGAAAAGTGAATAGTGGTTGTTCATCGTTGGCAGAAATGTATCCAATTGTCTGGTGATTATGTGGAAAAGTGAATAGTGGTTGTTCATCGTTGGCAGAAATGTATCCAATTGTCTGGTGATTATGTGGAAAAGTGAATAGTGGTTGTTCATCGTTGGCAGAAATGTATCCAATTGTCTGGTGATTGTGTGGAAAAGTGAATAGTGGTTGTTCATCGTTGGCAGAAATGTATCCAATTGTCTGGTGATGATGTGGAAAAGTGAATAGTGGTTGTTCATCATTCGCAGAAATGTA